AAGTATGTGAGACAGAGCCTTAAAATCCTTGCCTTCAGGGAGCAGCCTGCTTTCACCCCCTCCAGGACAGACCTGTTTGTTCTCCTGATGATCCGACTCTTCTCCATCACCACAACCCAAAGTCATTGATCCTTCTTCTATCATCCTTAGTTATTGTCCAGTTCTCTGATTCATAGCAAGTAATTGCAAAGACCGTGGTTTTTCAGGTGCACCTTAATCACTAGACTGATACCGTTGCTCTTCAGTACTTTGGAGAGGTTCCTGACAGCAGAACTTCCAAGCTGCAATTAATCTTTTGATTTCCTGACTGCTGGTACCAAGAGTGTTGATTGCAGAACCAAGCAAGCTGAAGTGATCAGCAACCTCAGCCTTGGGTTTAAACTCCATGGCACTGCGTTTGGTTCTGGAGAAGCAGGAGGTCAGGGAGACGTCCTGCAGGAAGAATGTCTGGGCTGGGTGTGGACAGGCGCTTCAGGCCCCAGGTGGGTCAGGGCCCTTCTGGTACAGGGCCAAGTGTTCGGAGATGTGGGAGAACAGGCTGTGCTCAGAAAAGGCAGGGAAGCCAACAAGATGAGCTGGAGGCGGTGGGGCGGCAGGAGGTGAGGATGAAGCTTGAGGGGTGAGGATCATTTGAAAAGGCGAACGTCTGTTCTCTATTCCAGCTCTTTTTCCTGGCGTTTGTTTTTTTTTGTTTTTTTTGTTTTTTTTTTTGCAGCACCTTCATAAATCCCCATGTAATGCAAAATATTAAGCATCTGACTACTAACCAGAAGGTTGAGTTCAAGGCTACTCAGAGGCACCTCAGAAGAAAGATCTGGAAATTTGCTTCCTGAAAAATCTCAGCCTTGAAACTCTCATGGGCACAATTCTCCCCAGCCACAATTGGTGTCAACTGGGTGTCAGAATGGACTCAACAGCAGCTGGTTTAGTTTGATTTTTTTCCCTAAATCTGGGCATGTTTCTATCCCAAGTGGAGTTTTCTTCTTCTTACCATTGTGTTAAGTATTTCTGCTCCGCCCGTCCCCCTTCATTCCTTGCCCACGGTTCCATTAGCTTTCTGGATCTGGTATTGCGTGTCTAAAAGGAGACTCATTAAAGAGATTTATTGCCAGTTAATTGACTCCCTCTTTTTCAGTTACCCTGTTGTGTTTAAGCATCTCTGTGTTGTGTCATGTCCCTAGATAAAGCGTTATTGTAAAGCATGACGTTCCCATAAGCTGTTCTGGGTAGTTTGTGTATGAATTACGTGCAAGACAGAAAAATGTTTCCCACACTTAATGAAAAAGCAGTTACTTCCTGAAGCGTATATCTTAGAAAAAGGAGAGCTTTCTTCCTATGCTAATTAATCTTTCTCATAAAGTGAGCCGCCAGGCCATTAGTTATTCTTGATTTTAGATTGGCTCTTCTGTGGAGTGTCAAGGGTTAGTTGATACGCCCTTAATACCTTTCACATGAATTGAGCTCATACAATTATATTTTATATTTTGATGTTGTGTTTTCCTTTTAATGTCAACCAGCTTTATTTTTAGAGCATTTTTAGGTCTAAAGGACCCTTCCACAGAGGTATAGAGAGTTTAGATAGACTCCCTGCTGTCTTTTTTTTCCTTTCTTTTTAGAAAACAAAAACCTCAAATCCGTTGCTGTCAAGTCAGAACCATTACAGAACAGACACGCCATTGGGTTTCTGAGGCTGTAAATCACACTCAGTCATTATTGTTGAATGAGAACCAGCTCCTAGCTGACCCTCCACTGGGTTTTGGAGGCTGTGAATCTCGTGGGAGGAGTGAGCCCATCTTTCTGCAAAGAACCTGGTGGATCTGCACTGCCAGGGAGCCTCAGCAGACAGCACAGTCCCGCACAGACCAGGCACCACACTGTCTCCTCCTGCTGGTGTCTTCCAGCAAGGTGGTGTACTTGTTACAAGTTACTTGTTATATTGGACACTGTAAAATTATTTGTTACTAAACTCTGCAGTTGACAGTAGGGTTAACTCTGTGTTGAATAATTCTCGGGCATTCTGACAAATGCATGCTGTCACAGGGCACAGAGAATAGTTTTGTTCCCCAAGAGCGGGTCTTCCTCTCTCCTCTGCCCCCCTACATCAAGCACAGGGCAACCCCTGGTTCTCGTCTGCTGTTCATAAACTCACTATGAGTTATATATGAATTAACTGTGCCTATTGACAATGGTGACCAGTGGCACTGAGTATCTTTTCATGTTGGACAATCGTGTATCTACTTTGGTGAAATGTTTTGTGTTTTGTTTTTTTTTTTACTTTGGTGAAATGTTCATTCAAGTTCTTTGCCCATTTTTTTAATCAGATTTCCTGTTTCTTTCTTTTTTTTTTTTAATGAATTCTAGGAAGTCTTTATATGTCCTGAATATTAAGCTTTTACCAGATACATGGATAAACCCAAGTATTTTTTTCCTCTTGATATGTATAATTTATTATTTTGAGAAAGTTTTCTGATGTGGAAAATCTTTTCTTTTTTCCTTATGAGTCATTTCCCACTTGACCATTAGTAGTTGTTGTTGTTATGTGCTGTCGAGTTGCTTGCGACTCATAGCTACCCTATGTACAACAGCCCTAATCCCTGCTCTATCCTGTGCCAATCACACTGCCTCTGACACACCCATCCCCATTACCCCAGTCACTGAATCAATCCATCTCATAGAGGGTCTTCCCCTCCTGTGCCATCCCTCCACCCTCCCAAGCATGATGTCCCTCTCCAAGGACCTGTCCCTCCTTACAACATGTCCAAAGTATGTCAGACAAAGCCCCAGAATCATTGCCTCCAAGGAGCAGCCCGGTTTAACCCTCTCCAGGATGAATCTGTTTGTTTTCCTAGCAGTCCATTGTACATTCAATACTCTTTCCAGCACCACAGCTCAAAGGCATCAATTCTCCTTCTATCCTCCCTAGTCATTGTCCAACTCTCTGATGCATAACAAGTGATAGCAAAGACCATGGCCTGTATCAGACCCACCTTAGTCTCCAGAGTGTCACCATTGCTCTTCAGTACCCTGGAGAGGTCCCTAACAGCAGACTTTCCCATCGCAATACATTTTTTAATTTCCTGTATGCTGGTGCCAACAGTGTTGACCATGGAGCCGAGCAAATTAAAGTTGTTAACAATCTCAATCTCTTCACCATCCATCCTGATGCTGCCAATTAGTCCAGTGGTGAGAATCTTTGTCTTCTTGACATTGAGCCTCAGTCCATACTGAAGGCTGCAGTCCTTGACCCTCTGCAGCAAGTACATGAGGTCCTCCCCAGTTTCGGCAAGCAGGGTTATGTCATCTGCATAACGCAGATTGTTAATAGATCTTCCACCAATCCTGACACCACACTTCTCCTCATAGAGCTCAGCCTCTCGGATAATCTGTTCTGCATACAGGTTGAAAAGTTATGGAGATAGGACACATCCCTGGCATACACCCTTCCCAATTTTGAACCATGCAGTGTTTCCCTGCTCTGTTCTGACGATTGCCTTCTGGTCCAAGTATAGGTTTCACATTAGCACAATTAAATGTTCTGGGATTCCCATTCTTCTCAGAGTCAGCCACAATTTGTTATGATCCACACAGTCAAATGCCTTTGTTGTTTTTTTAAATGAATTTTAATGAACATTTACAGAGATTTTGGACTTCCATTCATGCGTTGTTGTACTCTTCTCCCTGCCCATCTCCCCAAATCTTTACTTTTAATGTTGTAAAATGTATCATTTCTGACTTTTGTTGCTCATGCTTTTTGTGTCATCTCTATATCTAGGTCCTGAAACATTCAACCAACTCAACTCACTGCCATAGAATCCGAACCGACTCATAGCTGACCGTCCATTGGCTGAATGAGGCTGTGTACCTCAGAGGAGGACATAGCCTGTCTTTGTTCCTCAGAGATGGGGCATTTGGTTTAACAACGCAATCCCTACAGACTAGACTTGGCTACCAAGCTCCCTACCCAAACATGACAACTGCGTTTTTTTCTAGGAGTCTTCTGGTTTACTTCTTATACTTAGGTTGCTGATTCATTGCAGTTCATTTCAGTAAATGACGTGTGGTGTGGATGCAATGTCAGTCTTTGGCCTGTGGAAACCCAGTGGTGCCAGTGCTGTTTAGGAAGAGCCTGTCATTTAGCTGTTTTGTCAGATCTATTGATATGTCGATGTATAAAAGAGAATTGATTCTACTTGAAAAGCTACATTTGTGTATGATAAGATACACCCTATCTACCCATGCTTCCTGCCAGTGAGTTATTTCTGGATCTTAGTAACCCTCCACTGAGCTTTTCAGTCTGTAAATTGTACTAGGAGAAATGATCCATTTTTTTAAAGCAGCTGGTGAATTCAGACCTACAGAGCCTTTTGAGATTGGGCTAATCTTCCTAGAGATGTTCATTTATCAACATATTATTTAGTGAAAAATACACATTGTTTTGGTTTTTTGCAAGTAGAGTTGAGGATGTTTTATTTTATAGATTGCTTTGTTTTCCTATTTAATAACTAACTACTTGCAATACTAACACAGAGCTCTGGTTGGTAAGAAGCTGTGCTGCAATCCCAAAGGCGCATGGTTCGAATCCACTAGATGCTCTGCAGGCGAGTGATGGGCAGTCTCCTCCTGTGTGATTTACTGCCTCTGAAGACCCACTGGAGGGTCAGCTATGGCTTGGTTCTGATTCAAAGGCAAAAACAACAACAACAAGAATAATAGAGCAGTCTGTGGGATCTTATGCTGCTAATTCAAAGGCCAGGTTGTAGGGGTTTAAATCCAACAGCGGCCCAGAGGGAGAAAGGTGGGAAGTCTGCACCAATGCAATTTACAGCCACAGAAGTCCCCTGAAGGGTCAGGTATGACTTGGGTCTGACCTGAAGGCAGTGGGTTTGAAGACTCGTGTAAAATACCTAGCGTTAATGTACCAGGCACAAAGGAGTATGGGTTCGTATCCAAAGACACTGTTGCTGAATGAGCCTTCTCTTCATTTTAATATTCCTTCCCAGGGTCTGCCTGGACCACCAGGGCCACAAGGTCCCATTGGATCTCTGGGACTCCCAGGGCCCATTGGGATTCCAGGAGAGAAAGGGATGAGAGGAGAGGGCGGCCCGCCTGGAGCAGCAGGCGAGAAGGGAGACAAGGTGAGCCTCTTCCTAAGAGAAGGATCCGCGCGAACCTCTGACCAGCATGATCACATGAGGGGGGGGGAATGTTTATATAATCACAAGCAGTATATACACAAGGCATACCTTGGAGACACTGCAGGTTCTATTTCAGAAACTGCAACAGAGTGAAGACGTTCTCAGTAAGAGCATGAACAAGTCTCAGTAAGAAGAATCACATGATTTGTTTGTTCACTTCCCAGGCATGTAGTTATGTTTCCACAGTTACTGTTGTCTGTTCAGTGTGCAGCAAGAGGACAAAAGTGTAAACCATTTTTAGAATGATCAAAGCGTAACACAGAGACATGTACTGAGCACATGTCATTGGAGAAAGGGCACTAATGCACTTGTTTGACCTAGGTTACCTTCAATTTCTAAAGAAAGCAAATCGCAATAAAACAAGGTGTGCTCCTGTAAATGAAGTTGAGACTTCTCTTTGAAAATCCAGCATCCTTGCCGTTACAATCATGACCTTCCAGATCTTTCCTCTGCTCTTAAATACATAAGTATATAATCAGAAGGAGCCATAATTTATTGATTTTGTTAAATGAACTGATACTGCGGTTCATGCGTCATTCTGATCATTTCGTAACAATCCATAAAGATTGGATGTGTTCTTTTAAAAATATGGCATAATCTACCGTGGTATGGATGAAATATAGGATATTCTCTGTTGAGAATTGGTCATCCTGTCTTGACATTGTGTAGTACAGTTATACAAAAAAGACAATCTTAAGGGGACTCTGGTAGCCTAGTGGCAAGAAGCTGCACTGCAATCCTGGAGGTGCATGGTTCATACCCACCAGATGCTCCAGTGGAGAAGGAGGGGCAGTTACTTCCTGTGCCAGTCGGATCTGTCGTGAAGGTACACAACAACAAAAAAAGCAAGCCAAACCAAAACAAAAGACATTCTTGGCAATATCCATGCTTACATTAGTGCGTGTTTGTTTTTCTGTGATAAATACAGAGAAGTTAAATTTCTGGCTTCAAGATATCAAATATTTTATTTTCATTGTTGTTGCCTTGATGTTACTTTCCTAAATGGAGATATGAAAAGATGACATCTTTCTAAAAATTTTATTCTGTTATTTTGTGTGTGTACTGTCAAATCGGATCTGACTGGTACAGGAGGAGATTGTCCCTCCTTCTCCAGGAGAGCATCTGGTGGATTTGAACCACATACCTCTGGGATTGCAGTGCAGCTTCTTGCCACTAGGCCATCAGAACTCCCTAAGATGACTTCTTACATGGTGGCATTTCAGTTCCCCATGTGGAAATGAGTGACAGGGATTGCTAAATGTTTGTAATGATTAGTCATGGTTTCTTAGGGAGCCCTGGTGACCTAGTGGTAAGAAGCTGTGCTGCAATCCCAAAGCCACATTGTTTGAATTCACCAGCTGATCTATGGGAGGATAGGCAGTCTCCTCCTATGCGATTATACTGCCTCTGAATACCTGCTGGAGGGTCAGCTGTGGTCAGTTTTGACTCAATGGCATATAACAACAACAAAGACACAGTTTCTTAGCATTTTCAAGTAAATTAACTTGTTAAGCTAATTTGTTTAGTAACTTGTATTTTTGTTTTACTTTCTGGATTTTTAGGGCCCAACTGGTGTTCCTGGATTTCCAGGTTTGGATGGCATACCTGTAAGCATGTCTAAATTTATTTTCCCACTTATTTTTAATTTAAAAAAGAAACACATCTCAAAGCTTATAAGATCACATGGTCAAAGGAGAATCTAGGTCAATCACTTTACTGTCTCACCTCATTGCATGGAAGGATAAAATGTTAAAAATTCTTACAATAACTTTGAGAGCCAGAATATTTGAAAAGCAGAACTTTCAAATAGCTTAGATAAAAGCATTCCAAAATACAAACTCGATAGACTTGTCATGCCAAGTACGATCTTCTGGAAATCAGTCTGTGCTTCTCATGTAAGTTTTTATTTGCTGACAAAACCTAAAATTGGGAGGGGATTTAGAATCCTCCTCCTCACATGAAAATCAAATGGAAGAAAGGAATTATGGGGAAAGGATTAGCAAATGATTCTGTAGAAGGATTTCCAGGAAAATTTCCTCCCAAATGGAATGAATTAAAATTTTAATTTATTTGGGTTGGTTTTAATATTTATTTTTTTTATGATGCTGCATGGTACTTTTGGGTGAAGAAGACAGTGTCGCCGAAGTCCCTAAATGACCATAGGAATCATTGCTGCCATAATTTGTGTACCTATGTTGCATAATCTTTTCATCATAATATTCTTGAAAGAATTGCTTTGAATTCATACTATCATGGGTTTTTTTTTTTTCTTTTTCTTTTTTTCAGGGACACCCAGGGCCTCCTGGACCCAGAGGCAAGCCGGGCATAGATGGCTACAATGGCTCAAGAGGTGATCCCGGGCGTCCGGGAGAAAATGGAGCTCCTGGCCCAGGGGGTCTCCCGGTAAGACAGAGCTTATCCTAATAGGGAGCCCTCAAATGGGAGCACACTTGGGGTGTGCTGGAAACAGAGCTCATTCACATGTGCTGGAAGCATGATGAGAATATAGGGTTCCCAAGAGGTGGAGATAAAGAGTTGGCACGATCCGGACTGAGCGGGGTCTTCTAGACTGAATGGAGAGTGAATTTCATTCTCCATGAGTGGAATTAAGGAAAGACTTGATCTAATCACTGTCCGCCTAAAATGCCCTTTATTGGCCAACAAGCCATGGCTACATGATAGGGCAGCGGGAACAGTAGGATGCTTAGCAGATTGGGTTTTGTGGATCATAGCTGGAGTTCAGAAAAGACATGTGGACCTTCCTAGTTATCCCAAACAGAAATATATTTAATACTGGGAGTTTGATAGCCATTGAGATGATTGTGGGGGTGTAGAACCCAGACGTCATTATTTAGCAGCTGATTGGGAAGTGTCCCACTTAGCTGAGACCCAGCAATCAAGGAGTGGCTCATCTCACCTCTGCATCTAGGAGAAAAACTTCATGTGCTTCTTCTCTCCTCCTGCCTGGCAGCAAGGGTAGTACCCAGGGAAGGACGTCTTTCTCATGTCTGCCTTCCAGCTCCCACTAAGAACCTCACCCGTGCAATGAATTCATGCCCAGCTACAAAGAATTGAGAAAAGCAGCTTTTCACTTTCTGACAACAGCGTGCGGGATGCTCAGTGGATACCAGGAGAAAGTGACTTAAGAAACCTTGACTGCTCTTGGGTTATGGTCGTCTTCCCCCCTCTCAAAATTTAAAAAAATCATCTCCACATAATCTCCACAAGCAACACCCTCCACCTGCCCCTGTAGTCTAGCTCTTTCTCCCTTTCTCCTTCATGTCAGTCAAAAGTGGAGGTAATTTGGCCTTCCAAAGTGAATTTTCTCTGTTTGCTTTTGGGTTCCTGTTCAGTGGCAGTGAGAATTTTCCTAAGTTTGGATCTGCTTCCGATAATGTGAATTCTCCCTAAGAATTGCTTTGTTGTAAGCTCTCTTTCTGTGTCATTTCCTTTGGAATATCTTCATCTCTTCATCGCAACCACGTCCTTCTTTTCGTGGATAAATTTGCCTTCATTAACTCCCTCTTGCCGTACGTATGCTGTGTAACCTCGTGAATTACAGGAGGGCCTGTATTCCCAAGGTCACCTCTTCGACAACTCCATCCACGTTCAAGTCAAATATAATGCTCAGCATTATATCTTTTTTCATTTCTTTACTTCACTTTTATCATTGTTGACCAGTTCTCCTTTTCAGTTGCCATTAAAAAAAAAATCATTTGACTTTTTCACTGGAAATCAAGAGACAACACATCTACCGATGTTGATGAATAACAATGTCCAGGAAACAATCACCAGTAGACTTTAAAAGAAATCGTATGAGGGAGCTCTGGTGGCCTAGTGGCAAGAAGCTGAACTGTAATCATGAGGGCTTGCAGTTCAAATCCACCAGATGCTCCACTGGATAAGGACGGACAGTCTCCTCCTGTGCCAGTTGGATCTGACTCAATGGCATGCAACGAGAGGGAGAGGGGAACAGAGAGAGAGAGAGAGATAGAAAACAACGAAATTATTTGATTGGTCCTTGTTCAGATTTGTATCCATTTTTATATGGAAATTTATGAGCCGAGGATCCACTCTTGGTTTTAGAGGTTATGGATTATCAAGTATTAGCTAATACTACTAGAAATACAGGATTAAGCTACTATGAACTGCTATTCAAAACCTTTTCATCTGTTAGTCAATGTATAACCTTGCTTTGTGGATGTTTTTGTTTAAAGATACATTTCTTAATAGATACTAAGGATTCATTAACACAGAACTTGCGGCCAACACCAGTAAACCCATTGCTTGAATAGTTTCTCTAATGCACATAGTTGCTTTGTTTGATACATCACAGCCTTTTTGTGGTTAGGAACACTAGGTAAGACATCAGTAATATGCTCAAGGGTCAAGTTCAAGAGCACAGTCACCACCAAGAAGGACAAACATGAGTAAACTGTCCCTAAAAAGGCCACAAAAAGGACAATTTTTGCAACACAAATACTGAAAATATAAACCACAGCCTTGCAATTTTGGTCTCACTTCTTTTCCTGCTGTGCACATGCATATCCTCAAAGAACTATGAAAACTCTTCCAACTATTGGTTTGGGGGTTGCAAATTCATTTTAGCAGACAGGCAAGTTCTAAAATAGTAAATAGAATCATGAGGCTGGTTTATAATAGAAATGGTAATTGAACTTGGAATCATGTTGAAGGCTGATGTTATTTTTTTTCTATAATTATATTTTATTAATTTTCATAAACATTTACAGATATTTTGGGTTTCCATTCATTCATTGTTGCACTATTCTCTCTACCCTCCTCCCAGTTTGTTCTTGTCCAAATGCCATAGTGCTTGTCA